AATCATTACATCTGGCTATGGCCAGTGCTCACGACTTCGCTCCAAAACGACCCGAGTTATACTCGGCCAAAGATTATCAACCCAGCGACAGCTGTTGATGTATTAACCAGGAAAGAACTATGAGCCACTGTCGAACTGTTACAAAAACAACAACCTCATTCCAGAGAGATTTTGGGAACATATCTTATTATTTCTTATTTAATTATTAAAAATAAATGGCCTATTAGCCGTAATCGGTTACAAACAACAAACAATTATCTTTCAGATTTAAAGGAGTTGAGATGCTTATCTACGATTTTTTAATGCTGTATGACAACAATCGATTGGAATAGGAATATCCAACGTATGTAGATGTTCATTAAAATTTATGCATTTATACTCTTTACTGTAGATGACGTGTCATAATGTCCATGGTCGTTAAGACACGTCAAATAGTCTCATGGGCATTGTTACATACAATCAAGTGCTACTATATCTATGGGCGGTGTCATAATGTCTATAGACAATTAAAACAGAAATGTATTGGAAAATTTATTTAGAATTTATGATAGAGACACTCTTATGACGGAAAGAATTGCCCCTAAATTTGGTGTAAGTTGCATTTTGAGCGGGGTAAATACAAAAAATCGTTTATCTGGAAAACTATTAGAGCTACAATCCTTAAATTTTGGACGAAGCTCTTTAACATCTATATGAACATTCTACATCGGCCGTGGTACCTGGTACATGAAAGGTACCATACCGATATTGCGGACTATCAATAGGGGCTATGGTACATCCCATATGCAATTAAATAAAAATTCGTATAACTAATAGCGCTAGAATTAAGATTTTTGAAGAAAAATCTTAAATCGCGGGTTTTATTTATATTGTTTTTAGGGTAGCAAAGCACACTGGGTATAGCTAGTTGATATATATATATATATATATATATATATATATATATATATATATATATATATATATATATATATATATATATGTATATATATATATATATATATATATATATATATATATATATATATATATATATATATATATAAAGACAAATCCCTAAGTCGGTAATCAAAAACTCTAGAGTTTAAATTCATACCGAAAAAACATCTGAGTTCACTGGGTAGGGAATGTGTCAAGTTCCGTTAGTTCCTATCAAATGTTCCATTGACCTATTACACGAACGACATGTCAAATATATACCGTATACTGTAACCAAAAGCATTTTAGTCTAATGTCAAATTCGAGTCTACAATGACTCATAAATTCTAAATATTCTGATAAGGAGAGTTAATCATTTTACTAGAGATGAAGCGATTTGTTTTGTATGAAGGTAAGCCCAAAAATTTAGACTTCTATAATATTTGTTGTACTGATAAAATGTGCAGTACAATAGTTAAACAAGTAAGAGTGCTATATTCGGCTGTGCCGAATCTTATATACCCACCATCAAACCGTATGCCGTAAAAGGAATGCTCCCCTATAAACATCAGGGCGATATTACTTATCAAATTTATTGAGGAGGGCCTTATATGAGAGTTAGGGCGAATTATTGACCGTTTTTCATAATTTTTTTAGACCGATTTTGGTTCATATAAAACATGTTAACATCGAATATCAATTCCCGACACTTTCCGCATGAAATTCGGTAGGACGATTTACGTTCCTATAAAAGTTTCGCACGTTTTGGCTCGTATGAAACTTACTTATGTCAAATTTTATCTCTATATTCGTACTTTTAAGTCAGTAATGAGCGTTAAAGTAATTATCTGAAGGGGACCTTATATGGTCAATTATGAACCGATCCATATAAAATTTGCTAGAGAGTATTTTGCTTGTAAGAGATTTACTTATGACAAATTTCATTGCTATACTTGTATTTTTAAGCTAGTATTGAGCGTTAAAGTCGTTTTTTGAAGGGGACCTTTTATAGGGGGTAGGGTCAATTATGGACTGATTCATATAAAATTTGATAGAGAGATTTTGGCTCGCATAGAACAACTTATATGTCGAATTTCATAGCTAAACTAGTATTTTTAAGACAGTAATTAACGTAAAATTCATTTCTGAAGGAGGCCTTATATGAGGGGTAGGGTCAATTATTGACCGATCCATATAAGGTTTGATAGAGAGATTTTGACTCGGATAAAACTTATGTGTGACGAATTTCGTCACTATATTCGTATTCGTATAAGTATTTTTTTTGATAATCAAGGAAGTTTAAAATTTTTATTACGACCCTCGTACATAAAATATTTTATTGTTTGTCTTTTAACTTATCAACATTTTAAACGGAGTTAAAACTTAATCTTAAATAAAAAAATACTTTCTATTATAAATACAAATTCTTTTGAATTTAAAAATTATTATAAATTATTTAAATTCTCAATTAATCATTGCTTAAAAAGATAAATAAAACAATAAAAACTTTGACTAACAAAGTTAGGATTAATATGAATTCAACTGAGTGACTGCATTTAGTCAGGTTAAATGATATAAACAAAAAAAAATAAAAAAACACAAAATCGATTTAAAAAGAAGAAAACAAAAATTGAAATGACAAATTAATAATTCAAATGAACAGAGTTTATTTTAAAATTTATGCCAATGCAACACAAAAATATTAAATTAAAAACAGGTTTGTTTGAAGATCTCTACACATTCCCATGCCATTCCAATACCGGTTTAAAGGATGATTCCAACTAAACAATGAATCGATCGGTATTCCAATAAGAAAAATAACTAAACAAGTGAGTGTTTGTTTTTATTTATCAAAAAACAATTTTTTAAAGAAAGATCAATAAAGAGAGGTGGAGAGTGAAAGAGAGTACATCCTAAGGTAAAGAACTGAAGAGTGTTAGTTGGGAAAATTATCTATTAAATAGTTGCTGTAATTAAACATTTTATGTGTGTTTAAAATTCCTAGAAAAACTTGCTTTTTCACATTATTTACACAACCTCTGATGATTATTTAAGTTCAATGTAAAAGATTAGAAATGAGTTCAAGAATCATCCATAAATTATTTAGCGGGCGTCAGCCAGCCAGTCAGATAGACAGGTAATTTTATTGTTTCCATTGTATTGTTTGTAGTACTTATGTAGTAGGTACGTTGCACCAGGTTCTATTGTAGTGATTTTTAATGACAAACAGAATAAAAATTCATTCATTCACACGAAGGGAGAAACAAATATTTAAACAAACAATCAAAAAGATATAAAAATAATAAATAACTGTGGAGATTAACAAAGAGAAAAGAAAGAGAGCTGTTGTGTTATAGATCAGAGTTACTTAATCGGTGTTAAAAGTGGCATTTTCTTTTAAGTCGAAATATGAATTTGCTTTTGAATTTAAGAAAGTATTTATAGCCAATTTCCGATTAATAACATATATGTAGAGGAGACCTGAAAATATCATTTATATTTAACTCAAAATATACAATTTTTTCAATTAGTGGGAATTATAAAATTAAAAGAACAAATATTCCCATTATTAATGAAATACAATTTCATTAATATGATGAAACCGGCTGAATTCACACCAGCTTAACCATGAAATCCAATTTTCCGATGAATTCTGTTTCTATCTTACGAATATCTCTTAAGGGAGGGGTTCGTTTCTGGATTATTTGGCCGGTAATGTTCGGTGTAGGGAACCATTACAGTTGTCGAAAAGTAAATCAGTCTTACAAAATTTTTATAAAAAAACTCGCTGTTGAGAGCTGTAGTTTACTTGAGCTTTATAATCCCCCCCCCCCCCCCCGGGAGCATGTTACCTTGTTCAAATTCCCTAAGCTTGGTGTTATTGCAATGGTGGGGAAAACAGTTGCTACCAGTACCTCTATTCTGCCGGGGTATAAAATGCTGATGATATTAGATCTTTCCTTGGAATGATTTGATATGGGGTTGAACCAGAGAACCACATAATCTGGTACCACGTGAACCGGTAGCCCGCAGGGTAGAATTTCGGGCTAAGCGTTGGAAATGAGTTGGTGTTAAGTGTATATGATACGCGATGAATATAGGAGTATACGGACCTTAGCCACCCGTATACCTAGAGTTAGTGTGTCGGATGTTGTTCTCTATGAGTGTGTCGAATGAAAGAGAGGTATGCTGGTTGTGTGGTTGCAAGGATGCAAGATATCTTATATCAGTTATACCATTGAATTTTCCTTCCAGGTCCAGATATGTTCAGGGTTTACACAGTTCATGCCATATTTATCACAGTGTGTTCTCAGTAAGTAAGAAAAAGTCCCCGGCTTATTTGATGGATTCGTTTCGGTCCATTCCAGCAACGGAGAAGCAATGGTCACAGTAGCCATCGGCGTGTAAGAAATACAAAGGCCACCGCCCCTTTGTCGTATAAAGCCTGTGGTGAAAAAAGTACCACGGTGAAATAAGACAAACACGACAGGTGTTCACGTAAAGCACTTCGACTTTTTGAGCTTTATAATGATCATCGAAGTCCCGTTGGATATCTTCCGATATGCATCAGAAACATCACTTCAGTGTACAACTAGGCGGAGAAGCAATCGGTAGATGGAAATACGAATTACAACTGTTATACTTCTATATTATTCCACAAATTTATAGAGAATAACATCAGACACATTACACAATACATTTTGAGAAATAATTTAATTCTTCAGTGAGTAATTTGGAATGTCTTTCGCGGCTAGAATTTGTTGGAGCCATATATCGAGATATTTTTATTTATAAAAACCGTTTATGAATCTCTGCTTACTGAGAATATTATTAAAGGTGTGTGTATATCTGTTAGTTAGATATCAACAGGTATGAATCTCTAAGATATACATAAATAAATATTTGTTATTTTGAGAAAACCCATAAACAGAGAGGGAGAGTAAGACATGTCTTACGTTTTAACTCTTAACGTTAACGTTAAACAAAAAAGTCTACAGAATTTAAAAACGTAACGTAAGTTAAATGTCTACAAATGTGTATATTTTTTTCTTTATACAATTGGAATGAAGATTGTAAGAAAAGGTGTTTGAGACCAGTTAACGATCGGTATTTAAAGTGTTTACAACGTAGGCTCGGTAAACGTGTTTTAGAGTTTAAGCCGGGATTTTTATTTTGCAAAGGGTTTAGAGGCATTATAATTAAGGAATAAATTATTTAAAAATTAAAGTTAAAAAAAAGAAAATCGAAATTTTTAAAAAGTAATAAAAAAGTTTTAACGAAGAATTAAATTAAAGAAGAAATTCTACGAATATTTTAAATATTTCAAAAATAAAAAAAATCTATGAAAAAAAGTACTGTGAAATATTAATCGAATTAAACTTTTGTAATATACATATATAAAAAAGTCATTGTATTGTGGAAAAATATTATTTTTCAAATAAATCAATAAATAATAAACAAAATAAAAACGTCGTCAAACGAATAGAATAATCGAAAATAAAGTTAATAAATCAAGCAATATAAACAGCAATATATTGAAATATTTCTTACCACACATATTACGAGGAATAAGAATAAAAAATAAGAAATTATTGTGTATTGACACCTCTTTGTGCTAAACGAATTCTTTTATGAAAGAGTCATACAAAACAGAAAAAAAAGAAAAAAAAACATCTCAAGTTTAAAAATCTTGTGGTAAAAGAAAACAAAGAAATAAAGAAAATATATTTAAAATTAAATACGTTCAAAAAGGAATACTTGTATTTGCAGACAAACTTAATTTCAACACCGCCATCAATTAAGGTAAATTAAAAGTTTTTTTTTAAGAAACTTCTTTCACTTCTAGTTAAAAAAGCTATTACTAAAGACTAGGAGCAATAAATTAAACAAAATATAATGTAATTAAGCTTGAAATATTACTAAAGATGTTGTGTACGTTGGAACCTAGTTTGAACCCTAGTGATAAAGGTTTTATATTTCGATTTTACCTATAACATTCGCAAACCGATTGGTTTGCATTTCTACCAAATATTGCAGATTTTAGACACACCCATTACCCCCAAATAACCTGTTACAGAACTAGTTCTCTTCGCTTTATTAAAAAATGAAGAGATTTCAATATTCGTTTAAAAAAATTTCAGAACAAATTACAATTTTTTTATAACTATGTATGTATTGTTAAAAAAATAGCTTTTAATTTGCAAAAAAAGTTAAAATATTTGCACGAATTCGTTTGAACAAATAACAATAAAAATCCAAAAAAAAAATATTCATAAACTTTTTATTTGATTCTTAAATTAATTTATTGTAACTGTTTCGCCATTTAAATTAACATCAATTCAAACACATCGTTTAAATGATTCAACTTAATTTTATTGTTTTTGTATCCACCATCAAAAATTATGCAGGGTATATTGATTTTGTCATTCCGTTTGTAACACAGCGAAATATATACCCAAGGTATATATCTTCTGGGACCTGTTGAAAGCACGATAGGGTTCGAACGAAAAGAGATTGAAATTTTACACAAATATTCCCTAAAGGTAAGGTTGGGCAAAATCGGTCCACATAGCCCCCATATAAGTGGCCCCCGGTAACAGTTTTAACAGTTTTAAAAATATCAGTATAGGGATGAAATTCCACATAAACAAGTCTTAGGCGAACCGAAATCTCTTAACCAAATTTTATGAGGATCGGTCCATAATTGACCCCACTCCCCGTATAAGATCATCTTCAGAAAATGTCTTGACGTTCATTACTGGTTTAAAAATGCGAGTAAAGCGATAAAATTCGATATAAAAAAGTTCTATATGAGCTAAAATCTCTCTACTAACTTTTGTGAGGATCGGTCCATAATTGACGATCCATAATTACCCCTACACCCCCTCATAAGGTCCTCTTCAGAAAATTACTTTAACTGGCTTAAAAATGCGAATACAGTGATGAGATTTGACCAAAACAAGATTTGTATGAAACAAAATCTTTCTACCGAATTTGATTTACATTCAAAAATGATTTTAAAATGCCTCCTTATAGCGACGAAAGTCGATAGAACAAGATCTGTATAAACCAAAATCGTTCTACAAAATTTTAGGAGGATTCGGGCCATAATTGACTCCATTATACAGGGATAATCTCTTCTTCACGAAATGATTCATTACAGTCTTAATAATACCAGAAAATCTAAGAAATTTCATATAAACAACTTTTATGAGAACTGAAATCTTCCTACCGCCTTTGATGAAGATTGGCCGATAACTGATCCTATCCCCTATTTAAGAATTCCTTCATAAAATGACTAACTTTTATGAGTTACTTAAAAATACAACTTAAGCGACAAATAATTGTTGTATAAAACCGATGAGGATAGGTTCACAATTGACTCTACCCCCCATATAACATCTCTTACCTGTTTATGGTTATAGAAATTGATTTGATGGTGGGTATATAAGATTCGGCATGGCCGAATATAAAACTCTGACTTCATTTTATTTTTATATTTAAATATTTCATAGTTGTTGGTGTTATTTGTTTACTTATGTGTAAATTTAATTAAACTGATAAAAAAAGACGGTGAAAACAAAAATAAAGCATATTTAGCAAATATTTGTTTTCAAATAAAATAAATATGATCTCCGCAGCAGACAAAACAAAAAATCATAACTTAAATGTGATATTTATTTTGGTTGTAATTAGGGTTTTTATTTACAAAGCCGGGATGTGGGTATTTTTTCATATGGAATTCGAATTCGGGAAAGATTTTTAAACTTTTCATAGAAAAAAAATTGGTGCAAGACTTCTAATTAATAATTATGTTAACCCCTGTTGTCGCCATATATATTCTAATCCATTTTACGCACTTCGTTATAGGTTAGAAAAAGAATTGGTGCAAGACTTCTATATAAAAAGCTCTAATTGATTAGACGATTTCTCTAAAATTTTCTATAAATGTGGAGTTCATTAAATATTTTTTAGAAATTCATGAAAAATTTTATATTGTATCGGTCTTAGATTAACCTTATCACACGATATTACCCTAATTGCCTTCAGGCTGTATGTAGGTAATTATGTTAACCCCTGTTGGCGCCATATATATTCTAATCCATTTTACGCACTACGTTATAGGTTGGGCTTCTGCCTGAAAGCTAGAGTTAAAATTAAGTAGACGGATTATGGGTTTTCGATATAAAACTCCAGAGGTGTTTGTCCCCCAATTTAGAGTCATCCATGTAGCAACGGAATCCTACGGGTATTCGCTTTAATATTAAGTTTTTCAGTGTTTTAAAGATTCCGACTTATCCTGTGACTGGTATACGATTGGATACGTCCGATGTTTGTGTATAGCCTTCTAATGTGTCTAGTATTTATATATTGATGAAGTGTCCTATAATCGCCTTTGGACAGTTTGACTAAAGTCTCATATCTTGTACACTTATGTTTCAATGATTGATTAAAAGAGCAGTTGCAGAACCGTTCCACAGAACGAGTGTCGACTTCATAACGCTTCCACAGAACAGTTTGGAAGAGAAATCATTGGGTTCAGGGTCAAACTAGAACGTGTAAAGTCTATATTATCCATTCTGTTCAAATTTATTTTGAATACTAGCGTCTTTTGATCCAATTGTAAATCAACACAATGACTGCAACCGCAACAACAACAAACAGTCATATGAAGTATCTAAAAAAATGTACAGTGGACGTCCACTAGTACGAATTATATAGTGTCAGGCCCTTTCGTAATACCGAAAAATTCGTATTATTGTATGTTTAAATTCAAATAATACACATAAAATATTGGATTTTATTTATTTTTGTTTTATTTTTCATGAAAAATTACATAACGGAACAAAATATAATAAATGTGTATTATTTTAAATAAATTTCTTGTACATAAACAGGCATAAAAGGGACATATTTACGTATATGAATTGTTAATTTTGAAAGTATCGTGAGTCCAATGGTTGAAATGAGATATATGTAGAAGGATTTAAATTTTAATGTTTTTAAAAAGATATGTGCCAAAGACAATTTGCAATTTACATATGTGTTCTAAAATGTATTAAAATGTTCAGATTACATAAAACTTTTATTAGAAACTTGAATGGAATATACCACAATTCTCTAATTTATAATTTTCTCTTAAAAATTAGAATAGTTATCCTTAAACCCATTGTTTGGAATGTGGAGTCACTTTACTTTCAAAATTAACAGTTCATACCTACATATTTATATAAATATCATTTTACTTATTAAAAAATCCATCATTTAACATCGATGTTTATTACATTGTAAAATGATTCTTACGGCTTTTTCAATAACAGCGCTTTTGAGGCTTTAATATTGTTCTCAGCAGAGTTATTGTCGGGAACTAATAAAATACTTTCCTCATTGGCGTTATCATCCAATTTAATTTCTTCTCTTGGGTCATCAAAATTCCAATAAAATAAATTAATAACACTAAATAATTGTTGATTTGTAAATATACATGCAGTAAATTGTGTGTATAGGATTTTTAAAAATACAAAACACTTGTAATAAATACAAAAAACTTCAAAATTACTGAGCTTAAGGTCAATGATACCGAAATAATAAAATAAAAACATAATAAAAACTTCATTCATACGTAAATAAAACCAAAATTCCCATAAAAAATGCGTTATTCGTACTATCGAACAGAAAAATTGTGACTTTATTCGTACTATAGAGTAGACAATGCAACAATTTTGCCATTCGTATTATTGGACATTCGTAATAAAGAGTATACGTACTATTGGACGTCCACTGTACTATTTTCTAAACAATTATTTTAGAACAAGAAAATATTTTCAAAACAATATTCGTGACTTTGTAAAAATTCAAGTCATGATTTGTTTTTATAAACCAATTATTTATATTTTATAAATCTATTTTTAGTATTAGTTAGTGTAAATTATTATTATTTTTTCAAAGAAATACCTAAAAAATAATAATTTTTAAAAGTGTAAAATTCTTGTCATATATTTTTAGATTTTTTGCAAAATTTTTTAATTTTATGTTGTGAAGAAAATACCTTATTTAGATAAAAGAAAAAAAAAATGGCATGAGTTTTTATATTTAAATTTAAATATTTGCATATGTTTCGCATTACATTTTATGAACTTATTAAGGTACTAAATAATATATGCTATTTGTATACTTAGAAACAACCTTGAAATATTTACGCAAAGTCCAACAAAAATATGTTTTATAAATTTTATACTTGTTATCTCCAGAGGCTTTTTTGTACTCTCATCTCATGTTTTTGTCATATTCTTACTTTTATGAAAAAATAGATTTTATGTGTAGGTGGTTTATTTAAAAAAATATTGTGGAAATTTAAAGGAACATGAATTTGCGTTAATTTATATAAAAACTTCACTACTTACTATAATACGGATATGTCAACGATTGCTAATTACTATATACATTATATAGCAGTAGTTGAGTAATGTTTTGGTGCCAATTTTTTAATTAAGATTTGTTAATTAAAGTTTTACATTAAAATTTTCCAGAAACTGAAGTTTTCAGTTTGAAAACTTTTAATAGCTTAATAGTGTACTCCCTTGTATTTGTGTAGTTTAAAACAAAAATAGAAAGTACATAAATATATTAGGATTATAACGTTTTAAAAGAAAAAATTTATAAATTGCAAAACTGGTTTTCATACAAAACAAACTTATAAACAATAAAGTGCCAATGTGCCCCCGACTGTCTCATTCATATTGAAATGCTTACTATTAATAAATTTTTGTTGACATTTAATGTGCTTAATTAAAATTAAATGA